TTGGCTTTAATCTTCGCTCTTTCACACTAGTCTTTGCAAAACTGAAAGTTCAAATGAAATAGACTCTATAGTATCTGCTTTAGAAGAGGAGCAAGTGATAAATTACTTGCCTAGGAGGAGATGAGGCTATTAATCAAAATGGCTTCAGGGTGTAGTGTTTCGAAGTTGTTCACCTGCTATTTAGTACTCAACACAAGAGGAGGTTTTCCCTTTTGAAACCCTAAATCAAAGCCCATTCAATAAAATGAAACAGACACTTGTTAGCCAGGCTGTCACAAAAAAAAAAAAAATCTTCATGGAGAGCCACTGCAAATTAAAGCTTTCAAATCAAAATCAGGACTTAAAGATTGCTTTGTGTTTCTTTTCATAATAAACAATGACATGGTTTGGTCTCTTACACAATTTGTTCAAGATTACTTGAAGAGCAGGAATTGAACACAATTCTGCTGTCCCCTGAAAGTTACACCTATGAGCACTTCCTGATTAAATGAGAGTTTTAGTTCACGTTCTCAAATTCTCCTTTCCAGCTTAATTTGTTTTCCAATAAACCAACTCATCCACTGTTGAGCTATACTGCCAAAGAATGCAAATTCATAGCATTTCCTGATGGCATCACACGAGATTTGTTCTACAGAGCTCTGAAAAGAGGGAAACTACTACTGAAGTAAGAGTTGGTATGCGTGAACACTCAGGATTTAATCATGCATGCCCATCCAGGACAGAATGAACTCTTGCTTGCTTCCACTGCTCGGGGCCTTTCTGTCAAAGGTTTTAAATTTTGCTTTATAGCATAACCTTTGGAATACAGAACACATGTAGTAGCTTGGTTTGAATTTCTGGTTAAGGGTTAGGTCTTTTTGTAGAGGGGGTAATGTTGGAGTGGGGTGAGTACAGTCTTCCCCTTAATAGTTGTATTGTATACTAAAATCTGCACTACATGGAATACAGCAACCTACCGAGGAGGACACTGATTCTATACACAACACAAATCTATGCTGGGACTAGGTGAATCGTTTATTTAGACAGCTGAATTGTCCCCTTTGTAACTGAAATTCAGACTGATGATCCCCTTGCAAGACCATGGAACTGGCTGTGACCAGTCTAGAAGAGCACTGGGATGTATCTTTGACAGTCTCCCACAGTAGTCTTGTCTCCAAGTCAGGATGATACAGTCTGGATGAACAGACAACCACGTAATTAGGAAACCAGCTGGATAGTCGGGCCAGCAGGCAGTGGTTCACGTGTTGTACTCTACCTGGAGGTCAGTTACAACTAGAGTGCCGCAGGGTCCGTACTGGATTTATACAGCTTTATCAGTTACCCAGAGGAGGTGTCAATGACATGCCTGCCATGTTTGTTGATGGCACCAAATTGGAGGGACCCATCAATACACACACTCAAGGGCAGAGCTGCCATCCAGTGGGACCCAGACAAGCTGGAGGGATGGGCCGACAGGAGCAAGGAAAATTGCCAAGTCCTGCACCTGGGGAGGAAGGACCTCCTGCAATGACACAAGCTGGGGACTGCCTGCCTGGCTAGGGAGCAGCTCTGCAGAAAGGTCCTGGGGGTTATGGTGCAATGAAAGCCAACAGCATCCCAGGATGCATCAGTAGGAGCACGGCCTGTAGACCAAGGGATGTGATTATCTCTCTGTACTCAGCACATGTGAGAGTGCATCTAGATACATCCAGTTTTGGTCCCCACAACACAAGACATACAACATAAACTGAGGTGAGTTCATCTGGGAGCCATCAGGATGGTTGGGGACTGGAACACTTGCCCTGCAAGGAGAGGCTGGGGGAATGGGACTTGTTCAACCTAGGCAGAAGATGGCTTTGTGGGAGGGGGGCTAACATCAGCCAGCAGAGCCTACAAAGAGGTAATCAAGAAGATGTAGACAGGCTCTTCAGCAGGGCATAGAAGGAGGACAAGAGACAACAAGCATAAATTGAAACTGGGGGCTTTCACACTGGATATAAGGACAAGCTTTTTCACCATGAGGACAGTCAAGCAGGACAACAGCTGGCCCAGAGAAGTTGTGCAGTCTCTATTTTGGAGAAAACTTGGTGGTTTTCAAGACCAGAGTGGATAAAGCCTTGAAGAACCTGGTTTGACTTCACAGCTGTCTGTGCTTTGGGCAGGGGATTAAACTACAGGCCTCTCAAAATCCCTCCTGATTTGAATCATTCAGTGACTCTGTATGAAGGAAGTTCCCCATTCAGCTCTCACTAATCCATGGAGAACACCAGCACTGTAGCTTCCTTACCCCAGTAGGCAGAGAACATGAAAGAGAAAGCTTTCACAAAGCTGAACTCCAGTGCAGTAAGAAAGAAAATCTTGCACATTCAGTGGCTTTCTCCCTTTTTTCTACTGTCCATCAGCAGTGCACTACAGAGTGTGCACGTTCAGCAAAAAAATGGGGGGAGGGGAATGGAGAGTGGAGATGAGCAAGATCAATATTTACATCTTTATCCTTTCCTGTGGCTGATAAAATACTGCTCTTCTCAGAAGATACACCAATAAATTTTCAGTTTAGATTTGCATACCAGGAAATAGGACCCTCATGACATCCTTTAGAGATTGTTCCAAGGATTAAAAGATTTCACATTCTAACAGTTCCCCAAAATACTCTGACTATGTTTCCTTTGTCAGTCTCATCACAATATGGTACTAGGTAAGTCCTCTACCTCCAGGCTATTTACGCTCCCTGGAGAACTGAACTGGCTATGTGGCATAACAGTCCTCAAAAGATCAAGTTCTTTTAATCCTTCCTCAAACATACTCTAACACCAACAACGTGTTCTTATTTCTTGCCATAATATCTGGATGGGTCTCCTTTTCTGTGGATGAGGTCCCAGTACTGACTGCAGAATAGCAGGTGCACTCTCATCCGAGCCAGAGCGTAAACAAACCCATCCAAGTTCTTTGATCCCCTTGCATACAAAATCCCCAAACCGCATGTTTTCTTTTCTAGTATACAATGACAAGAACTCCAGGAGGCCTTGTCTGTCCTCTCTTCATCAGCCCAATCCAGAGTCTCTGACGTCAGTGGAAATAGTCTCAATCACTTGGAGGGTCTTGGATCAAGTCCCATATCTTGAAGAATAAAAGCAAGGAGAAAGCGAGGCATTAACTTCAAATGCAGCTGCCTGGAATTCCTGCCTTGAAGTGGGAATGGAACAAGTTTGAGGGTAGGCGTCAGGATTTTTAAAATTAAAAAGAATGGGATGAAGAGCATGTTTTAACCTTCTAATTGAAAAAAAGTGTTTTGGAAAATATTCTGTGAAACTGTTTTGAATTAACTTACTTATTAAGTCAAGGGAATGTTCCACTCACATTCACCAGAAGAATGAAAACCTGAATGTTACAGTATTTACTCTGATGTTCTCTTCACAAATTGGAGCTTATTGGTGCCTTTATGCAACATACAACTTCTCAGGCTGCCTTACAAACTAAAGAAAAACTAAACTGAAAATTATGAGGAGAGTCAGCCCATTCAGGTATTTCACAAATCAGAAGTAAAAGAGGATTGCAGAGTGTACAACAGCTTCTTCCTCACCAGGAGAAAGTCAGCTCCTGACTTCAGTAATGCCACAGTTCTGCACAGGAGAGCTACCTGAATGCTAACAGAGCAAGAGGCTGTATACACTGTTCATAATGTGTCAACACACTTAACCAAATCCTATGCTGTGTGTATTACAGCTAGAGAAAAGCCTGATTGCATGTGTTACATGTGCATTATGTTCCCTGGCTGCCCTCCAGCCAGCTGCTTTCATGTAAAATAACTTTTGCCCAGAAAGCTATATACTCAGAATTCATAGCTACACACTTCTCATTCACAGAAGATCTTACAATCACTCCATATTACCACGATAACCTGAGAACTGACTGTTCTCAGCAAGTCTAGTATATCACAAGACTCATATGCTTTTTCTGGATTAGGTTGTTAATAATTTGCTCTGTGACTAATTCTTCTAAAACCAAAACAATCAATGTAAGTCACATGTCAAAGGAAAGCCATCTCTCTCTCTCCCCAGATGTTTCACTAATGCACAGGCTAGTATAGCTACAGTATGACTAAGAAGTGGGAAAAAGCTCTTTTTTCCTGCTCTTATCTTCAAAACGGTCCACTCAGGAGAGCTGAACTAAAAGAAAATACTAAAGAAAAGCAAGAAATGAACTGAAAAGGACATCTTGCATTTTATAATAACAAACCAAACAAACACGACACTGCTTGCTTTGTAAATCTTAAAGAAAAGCTCCCCCTTAGCTCAGGCTGCCTGTTTCTTAAAAAAACAAAGACGAGCAGAACTAGCTGCAGGCAATGAAGTGTATTAGCATTTGAATTCATGCTTGTATATCTGCTGAAGGAAAAACTCTCTTAAAAGCAACGTAAGGAACTTCTTCAAATGTATTCTGGCAACAGTTATTTGAGACTTGAAGATTTCTGATGTCTACAGTTCCTTAAAAACAAACTGGGAAATGTTAAAAAAAACCCACAGATTGCTGCCAATTTCAAAACAGGATGTTTTTGTTGCTGATGACTGTAATTAGGATCAGTGACCTTCAAAAAGTAAACAACACATCCATTACCTCTTCTCTTCTAATTATTGTTGCAAATATTTTTCTTTCTCTTTATAAACTTGGCTGTATGAGTAGTTTATCAGTCATACTCAGGCAATCACCAGAACTTCCACAGGACTGAAAATACTAGCACCCAATGTCACCAGCTAGTTGCAGGGAAAAGGAAGTGAGTCGGAGGAAAATATTTCGTATATGGTTAGTGATTTAAAATCAAAGCAGCTGTTATAAGCACCCAGAAAAAGCAAGACAGACAAGGCACCCCTACAAGAAATGCATTACAACAGTTTCTGAAGACAGACCCATTGTTAGGAGATAACCTTGGAAACTGCCCGAGTTCCTGAGACAGCAAGGAGGAAGTTCTGCAGCTTTCCCAACACCTGATACTGTACTCAGAAACCTAACCCCCGAGTCCTTACCTTCTGATGTCCAAATTCATTCAATATTGTGCCCAGCTTCTTCGTGTTGCTGTGAAGTTTATGAGCAGCAATGGCCGGATTGGGATCCCTCCAGTCAATGGACAGGCGATGATACCAGAGGTGCCGACCCTCCTGAACGTGTGCTGACTTGATACTGGGGTCAAAGCGATGCACCTCACATCCACTGTTGGCCATGCTGATCTCAAACTGGTTGTCATCATTGCCCAGCCTACAAAACCAAAAAGACATAATTATCAATGCTGCAAAAAGAACTATTAGTGAGTAGGATATTCAGAGGATTAATTTTAAAACAAGTTAAAATCCAACTCATTTGTTTCTGTAGCAAAGTGGAGGAGCTCCACTTGGGATCATGTTCCTTCTTGGGATATATCCACAGCACTGAGCACAATGAAACCCTAATTCTGATGCGATAACCAGAAATAAAGCTAAAGGTCCACAATAATACCTGCTGAAGATTTGGAATAAGTAGTTAGATAAAAGAAATTTGAAGGGACATGTGCTTTTTCTCAATGTCACATTCAGAATTGACCTTAAGAAACTTTTAATGAAATTTTTCATTTTTAGAATGAAACTACTGGAGTAGATTGGATAAACTAACCCCACCACAAAATTCAAGCTCAATGGAACATACTGCATATGCTTAGAATGAAGGGCTTTTTCAGTTCAAGAACTAAACCACTTTTAACCTTCCCAAAGAGCTTTTTCTTAATTCAGAAGTTAACATAATTTATAAGGAAGTAAATTAAATATTAGAACCTTTGTGCTGTCATTATTCCTCTATTTATATTTTATTTTTACATATATTCCCCTATTTTCAATTTGCTTTTTCTTGACAAGATTACAATACGTTCCTTAGTCCCCACTCCACAAACTTCCAATAACCAAGACATAAACAGAAGAGTAAATACATTTAAAATGTATACAATACTGTTTTGTAAAAATCAGGCATATTCCCACCGTGTCTATAGTCTGGTGTTACAAAGATGAACCACAATGGCCACCAATAGGGACAAGACACAAGAACCAAATGCCTCTCATTCTCTGGGCACAGGAAGATACAGATAAAAAAAAGCAAACTGAAAAATAACCCCTTCACAACAGTCACAGAGTTTTTACACAAACTTAAGAGAAAGATTGCTGCTAATTTGGCAAAGATCCCAAAGAAGAAGAAAGATGAATAGTCCCATCATACAGAAAATAGCGTTGTCTCAGTCCCTGTCTCTACAAGGAGAAGATGTACTTTACAAGGCTGCGCCATATTCCCACCTCCTACAGCCCCTTGGTTCACACAGGGTATACTAAACCAAAAAAATTCTGGTATTTGCCATTGCAGTCACATGTCTGGTCTGCAGGCTATCCCTGCTGCATAAAATAGTATGTCCTCCTCATTCCTACCCCTCCAAACTTGTTACAAGCGTGGTTCAAATCATGCACTAAAACTCAATAAAAGTTATGCTGTTGGACATACACACACATAGCCCTGGGAAGAGAACCAAGTTTTTTAAAACAGCGCTTCAACCAGTTGTACTAATTGAGAATATCTTTTATCTATCATAGACAGACCATGGCAGGGCAGTACTCTTAGCTGTACTATCAGAGCACCTGCTACACTACACCACACCACAATTATCCTTCTTTAAAGGATATTTTTTAAATGGTGTGAACCTGAAATAATTCTGGCTTTTTGCATCAATATCTAAAAGATGACAAACTTTACATCATGCTACACTATGATTTGACATTAAACCAGCATTAAATGTTCTACATAAATGAGATACTGGTACATGAAAATTAATCCAACTCCTGAAACAATCTTTGGAAGAGCATATCTTTTGGGCATTACCAATACAATATCACGCTTGCTGTATTACTGACTAAGCACAGTGCAACCAGGTCTTCCTCTCACCCATCTTCTCCTTCAGGCATCCTAGGAAAGCAGAGGTGTCAGGGTTTGGAAAAACAACAAATAGTGTGCTTCTAAGGACAACTCTGTTTCACAGGATGCAAGCCTGTACGGATGTGTAGGAGGAAAAGAGAGGAGTTTTCTTTTAACACATTCAACACACATTGGGAAAAAAGTTCAGAAGTTAACCAAGTGAATTGACGTATTTGTTTGGATATAGCTCTCTACAGAACGGACACTGATGAACAAAGACCAATGTAATCCCTTAGGAATGAGAAGCTAAAATGAACAAAATGTGAATTGTTAGGGACAGTCACAGCATTAGAATGATGAGCCTAACAGTGACCAATGGACACACGCTCCCGTGACACGCTTCCAGTAGCACCAGCCGGTACAATCTAGGGGGCCAGATGCTTTTGATATTGACAAATCTCAGGCTGCCTCCAACTACTCGTGTGGACTGCAAAGGGAGGTTCACAGTGATGCAAAAGAGAAACAATATATAGATGAGGGTGAAGAAGGTGCTGATATATCTTCTGGCACTCTGGCTAACAGCTCTAATTTATGCCTGAAGAGAGATCTAATCAACAACAAATATTTCAGAGAGGAAATAAGGTCATCTTCAAAATAACTGGTCTGAAAAACTCCAGGCTCATATGCGATCATACTAAGGGATAAAGCCGCATGAAAAAGGTAAACAAATGAGGTCTCCTAAGAAAGCTTTTGTGTTACTTAAAAAGGGACTATGATTTTAAAAGAAAGGTGTGGAGGCCACACAAGACTAGAGAGGCCCCTCCCCACCACCAGGAGAGAGCAGCTGCTGCCTCCAGGGAGAGCAAAATAAAAAAAAGCTAAAGACATTGACCTATTTTTTGCCATAAAAGAGAGCTCGGTTACAGGGTTGACAGTCGCATGCAGACGCCTGCAGCAGGGGCAGAGGTGGGCTTTCAAGGCAGCAGGAACAGCACCCTGCGGACGGGCCCTCCCGGCATGCGTGCGAGTGGAAAGGAAAGGCTATCTGGCTCTGCTCCCCACCAGCAGCAGGGCAGGGACACTGAGCCAGGACACAGTGCCACACAACAGGGAACAGTGTCCCTTGGCTGTCCCCTGCTCCCAGGGTTCGCAGAGGGTCACGGTACACAGAGCCTGGCACTCAGAATAAACACTGAGCTGCAGCTGGCACTGAAGGGAGCAATGCACCAGCCCCTGCGTCACCCTGGAGCACAGGGAGCATGCAGGTGGCACAAAAGCTGCTTTGTCTCCTCCAGCACCGCTCTAGTGGACACCTGTAGCTGACCCAGCCTGATAGCTGCAGGTACTCCAGCTCCCACAGGGACCACAGGACAGAGCTGTAAAAACATGCATGCTCAGGTCCAACTTTCCCTTCCTGTGCTCCCCCTCCTCTCCTTCTTTCTCAAAGGAAGATAATAAGCTCTGCAGCTCAGGAAAAAAGCAGCATCCCCTGCCTGGATCCTAAATCCCCTTTACTTTAAGATCCACCTGAAAGGGCTTTTATACACTATTGCAGCGAGACTCTAAACCTCAACTGGTAAGGTTCTGAAATCCTATTCATTTATATTATGCCAGCTCGAGTGCCTGCCTGTGGTGTTTGTAACAGATTTAGCTTAATCTAAGCAGATTTAGTACTAATAACTAGAGCTCACTAATTCATATTGCAATTATGTATCATACTGGGAAATCCTGTCCCCAAGCAAAACCATTGCTGCCTCCCTGTAGTGGAAGCAACTAATACTAATCTAAAAAGACCTGGAGACATTTCAGACACTGCTTGCTCCTATTCACAAGTAACATCTTCTATAGCATTCAAGAATGCAAAGTCCAAGTAGCATGTTTGGTCCAATTTTTAATGATATATGGATTTAATTCAGGATTCTCAGTAACATTTGCACTGAACTTTCACATTTGTCCTCCATCCATCCTCTCCACAGAGAATGTTCTTCATTGGAAGCAGCTGCTTCCCCTTTGCTCTTTATGAACTGTATGAGATAACAAAAAAGTTTAAAGGGGATTTTTCTCTTACTCAAAACAAAATTACTTTTCTGCCTGTCATAAGCTAAAGCAAGTGAGCCTGAGAGAAAAAATTATGCACTAACAAGCTCCAAAGGCCGCAGAAGTAAAGCAGAGGACTGAAGACTGCTCCTCCTTAACTTCAAATATTTCCCTTTTATTTTTTAGCTGTCTCATGTGATGGTTGGGTATTTACTGCACATGTGTATCTGATGACTGATGGGAGATGCAACATCAATTTCAATCTCTGCTAAGCCCTACTGTTCCATCAGTACAGAAAACCTGGCATTCACACTCCCTGGACCATACCCAAAACAGCACCACATATAAAGCCCTGGTATACACACACCAACTCAGATTTGTCCAAAACCATTAGCAAGCTACCCTTGTGCTGGTCAGCTTCATTCCAAATCTGCATTTCCTAGCACCGATGAAATCAACTCTGCATTATATCTACTGGCCAATTCAACAAATATACCATTCTCAACCCCCACTTGGTCCACAGCAAAAGGGAAGAGGGACATTAACGCAGGAGCTCAGGTCTAATATTAATGATCATGTAACTTCAAGGGCAAGGTCTAGATTAATTCTACTGAAATTTGAGTACTTTATCAAGACATCTAAAGTCAACAGCCACATTATCCCAGACTTCCTCTATAATCAAAGAAAAGCTACACCTACCTCCAGAAAGTTATTTATCTTAGCTGATTATCCACCTGAATGTGCCTGTCTCTCCCTACCGACTACTAGAAGGAGCCTCAGGCAATGAGCCAGTACTACAATCAAGTAGGTAAAGTCTGGACCTGACCATGAGATAACACAGCATCTCTCCTAACTTGCATAGGAACATGAAAAACTGAGGAAAAAAAAACCCATGTAAACCTGTATTTTGTACTAAAATCAGGTAAGTATAATTTGAAATAGATTGAAAAGAACATTCAGAAAATAAGAAGCAACAGCAGTCAAGAGAAGTTTGCTCTCTGTAAATGTGATTTGTCTAAATGGCATGTTATTGTTGTTCTGCCACAAAGCAATGCAGCTGAACAAAACTTGAGAATCCCTCACCCTCTGAGGATTTTGGTCTTTACAGCTCAATATAAGCTCCATCCAAATATAGAATCATAGAATCATTAAGGT